CTCAACCTCAAGAAAACAAAGCTCCTCACCACCATACCACTTGGAAGTATCATGACAGATGGAGAATAAGTGAGGTTGTTAGTCATTTAATTGTGCTTGGATCCACAATCAATTGTATTGGCACCAACAGTTAGGAGAACAAAAGATGAGTTGCACTGGGTATGTCTGCTGTCAGGGTACTCCAGCGTGCTAAAGAGTAACAATGTCAGTCCAGAGACTGAAGTGAGTCTAATTCAGACTATGGATGGTTTTCTCAATTTCTTGCTGTTGAGAAGCTGAGAAAATCTGAGAGCTAGACAATGACTAAGGATGACAGAAGAAGAGCCAATGCCTTTGAGTTGTGGTGCTGCCGAAGAGCACTGAAACTACCATGGATTGCAAAGAAAAAAAACCACATCTGTCCTGGAGAGGGTGAAATCAGACTGCTCCTTGGAGGTAAGGATTTTGAAATTCCATCTCAAAGACTTTGGTGTGTTGCCAGAAGGGACCAGTCTTTGGAGAAATCCCAGACAGACTGACACAGTGACAGTGGCAATAGCATCAAGTGTGTCGGAGATGGTGTCGTTGGCTCAGGTCAGGACAAGGTTCAGAGTCTTGGTTCATAGAGTAGCTATGAGTCATAGTTGATTCAACAGCACATAACAACAACAGTCTCCAAACTGACATCATTGCTCCTCAGTAATTCTGAGATGTCTCTGACTTTCCCAATGCAATACATCTCCTGATCTCCTGCTACCAAGTGTGTTGACTGTGGATCCAAGTAAGATGATGTTGTTGACAGTTCAGTATTTTCTTCTTCTATCATGATGGTCCAGTAGTGAGGATTTTTTTTTCTTGATGTTGAGATATAATTCATATTAAAAGCTGTATCTTTGATATTCTGCAGCAAGCACTTCAAGTTCTCCTCACTTTGAGCAAGCAAGGCTGTGTCACATCCATAACTGAAATTGTTGAGTCTTCAATCCTGATACCACATTCTTCTTCACAGAGTCTAAATTCTCGAATGATCTCTTAGCATAGAGACTGCACTTCATACTCATACATATTTAGCTATATTTGGATGCCTCAAGATTCTCCATCTCAATTTACTCCAAACTAATGCTATCTTCTTACCCTCTGTTGTTGTTGTTGTGTACCATGAAGTTGGAACTCATTCACAGCTAACCCTGCAGTAGGTTTTCAGTGACAGTAAATCATGAAAGGAGATTGCCCATTTCTCACCCACAGAGCAGCTGGTGGATGTGAACCACATTCCTCTGGATTGACAACTACTCCACTCAGTGGATGACAGAGAAAACTGCCCTTTTCAGAAATGGAGGAGTCACACTGTGTTTTCTTCCTCTTTCCACTATGTCCAGTTCATTTCCAGGGGCAATTGCTTCCACATCTTCAATCTCTCTCAAATATATTCACTTCCCTATTGTCCCTCCTCTAAACTAGACAATTATGATCAGTCTTGTTTTTTCTTTTAATACATATTCTCCCTCTCTCATTGCCATTGAGTCAAGACCAAGTCAAAGCTGACTCTCCAATGGGTTTCCAGAGGCTGTAAATTACACAAGAGGAGACTGCCTATCTTTCTTCCAAGGGTGGATTCAAACCACTTGCCTTACGGTTGGCAGTACAAGTCTTTACCCTCTAGACCACCAAAGCTCCCTATGCAACACTGAAAAAGCTATCTGAAAAAGCTTTACAAAATGTCAATCTAATTTTGGTCCTGTCCCAGCTAAAAATTTAATTGTCCATTTTCTATACAGTGAAGTTTAAATAAGATCTCATGTTCCATTATGCCTTCATCAACCCGGTCTCTCCTATTTTCCCTCCTCCTTGCATTCTGTGTCTCAACCATCTTAAATCTCTTCTAAGTCATTATCATATCATTATTTTCTTCTATATCATTATTCTACACATTTCATTATTCACCTTCTGAATAAACAGAATTAACTGTTTTTTGGTTCTTAGTTTAAATGTCTACTTTTTTAACATTTTCAGCATTTTTATTTTTAGTAAACATTTTCATGTTTTAGCTTGACTTCTGGGTTTGAATTTTTTATATATATGTTTGTATTTGTTTGTTATGAGATGAAAGTCTTAAGCATTGGGGAAACTAAGTTGGTAAAAGTATGAAAAAAAAGGAACGCTTGCTAACCTAAATGGCTGTAATGATTTTGGTTCAACCTATATGGCAGAGGTTGTTGCTGCATGCCATTAAATGGAACTGACCCATCGCTGGCCCTCCGGCTGGTTTTCAGAGGCAATTAATCTCTAGGAAGAGATTCCCTATCCTTCTTCTGCTGAGAATTTGTTGGTTTCGAACTGAATGCCTGCAGAGAAGATAAAATGTCTACCTCTTGCGAGCTGTTTGCCCATCATCCCCATCTCCATAACCCTATAGGGTTGCTCAGATTACCTTCAAATATAATAAAGAAGCCAAATTGCTTCTCGCCATGTTTTTATGAAGTCTGTTCCTATGTGATGATGTAATCTAGAGAGAAGAAAATTCTGATTAGACAGTATCAGAAATCTTATAAAAACAGATAGAGAAAACGAATAGTTCCAGCAAAGTAAGACATGAGAATAGCAGGTACAAAGCATGAAATACTCTGAAAAGTTCCCTTTTTTCTTGGGGGGGGAGGCGGAATGTTCACTGACACACAGATATGTTGTAGCACTGAAGATTATTTCCCATTTCAATCATTAAACCAGCAAATCACCATTAGGAGAACACTTATAATAAAATACTAAATCTAATTCAGTAGCAATAGAAATGGGATCAATGGTATGGTTTATCACAATTTTTCATCTACACTCCACACTGCAGCACTATGTTTATTTAGTTTACAGTTATGAATATTAAGTTTCAGCAAGGATACCTGTCAGTTTCTTTGGACTAGCTTTTTTGATGTTTGTCAATACCTTTTTTGGGGTTAAATGATCAGCTATAAAAAATGTAATGATATAAGCATCTTTTAAAAATGGGTTGTACGAGCAGAATTTTCAGTGAGTTGAAACTATGAAAAAATATACACTAAAGAACCTCCAAAACCGAATTTCATTAAAATAGGAAACATGGATTGAGTCTCATCATGTAAGTAGCTACATGTATGAATTTTAACACACACACAGCAGAAAAAGAAGCAACAGCAGAAAAATATGTATACGCAGGATGAAAAAAAAATGTACTCCAGAGAAATATATGCACAGGATATACACATTTTACGTACAAACTCAATAAATTATCAGTTAAAATTTTATTACTTAATAATATATGGTAGGAATCAGTTTACAAATGACATGGCAATGGAAGTTAAATGGCAGGAATGAATGCAACACTTAATGTGTTTAATAAATAAAGCTTTGTGATTCATTAAATACGATATTATATAGGATCAAATATCCCAACACTTCCATACATATTTAGTTGCTATCTTTCAGAGGAGCAAATATTGTACATATGTAAGAAACTGTCTGCCAGTCTATATTTTATAGAAATTACTTTGGAAAAGTAATGGTTTTACTGTATATAAAAGCTGTACTGGATCCCAAAATAGCATAATCTGATATATAGTCTCCATGAACAGTGGATAAAAATCAGTCTATTATCTTGCTATCTTTTTGGCAGTTCAGCATACTGTCAAATACTTTTCACAATTAAAGTACATCACTAGGCCCTAATAAATATACAAACATTCTAAGTATGGTCCATTTTCTTCAACACGATCTTAATAATTGTAGTTATATTAATAATGTGCTTTTGTGTGAAACAATTTACTAAAATACTTGAATTTGCTATGTAAAAATTAAATAGGCAGTTACACTATTTTACTTTCTCTCAGACATTAGACTTGCGGTTGGGTTCTAGACGTACTGAGTAGTCATGTCATCATCTCTGTCACACAGTCTTGAGGCAGAAGAAAACTAACAGAGGTGAAGGTCAGTTTTACAGTAACTACACACATGGCACCTAATGTATGGATCTAAAGACAGTCACATGCTCTCATTGTTTTTTCAGTGTACATGTGCTTTAGAACGTGCTGTATTTCTTTTGTTCTTTTGTCTTTGGTAGGCTTAGTTTCATTTGGATTTGCATGACAGCAAAGTACAGAGACACAGAATATGATGTTAACATCAGTATCACAACAATTTTTTTCTTTTTACAAATCTGTACTGGATGCATTTTAACTAAATGTTTAAAAACACTAATCCTGAGAAAAAGTAAAAATAAGAGCGGTTTCAATTAAAGAATAAAATTCCCTTACTATTAAACAGCTTTAAACATCTACCATGGACATAATTCAGCAATACTCAAATTCAGACTTTTGATATCCCTGCAAACCTGAATACATTGAGCAGAACTAGAACACACAGAGTAGATAATATAGAACAGTAAAAAGCATCAGAAATTGATGCACCTGGATTTTGTTATATATAACAAAGGTCCTTCATGAATTAACCTAGCGGCAGAAGAGCATGAGAAAGGCAGCACTGGATTCCTTTTCAGAGAGGCACAGGTGTTTTGTGGTTTTTTTTCCCCCCTTAAAAAATACCAAAACCAAAGCATTCAAAGACATAAGACACATTTGGAAGTACTATGAATCCAGTTTTCATGAAAGCAAAGTTCTGGCGACTTCAGAAACAAAAGTCACATGTTCTTTGTCATTATAGCTACTACCTCATGAAAAGAAAAAGAGAAAAACCAAAACCTACTGTCATTGAGTCACTTCTGACTCACAGTGACCCTAGAAGACAGAACACAGTCCTGCCCCATCGGGTCTCTAAGGCTGTAGTCCTGAAGCTATCAGACTGCCAGAGCTTTCTCCCAACAGGTAGCTGGTGGGTTTGAACTATGGACTTTTAGGTTAGCAGTAAGCACTAACCAATGTACCACCAATGCATGAAAAATAAGAGTAAATTCAGCAAAGCAGCATTATGACAAAGTATTGGTATACCAGAAAAGGCATCAAAGGCTTTGTAACACAGGTCAACTCAAGCCAAGCTCTAACAATTTTCTAGTTCATGTGGTAAAAGTGCAAAGGAGTGGGAAACTTCCTGTGCAGCAAGGATCCCCTCACAGTATTAAGGCTTGTCCACGTCGGAACGAGTCAGATGAAAGTCTGCACAGTGAAAACGAGGCAGGGACTCCCAATCTTGGCACAGCCCTTGGGGCCATCTCCAATATGCCTTTTCTTATTCACACTGTTGCTCTTCCTCTTCATCTGCTTCTTCAATGACCTGAATCTCATCTGTCTGAGGTAAGGAAGAAGTGTCCACCTGAAGCTTATTCCCATCAGCTTTACATTTTTCTTCTTCCTCTATGATTCCCTTCCATATCTTGTGGTTTTCAGTGAGGTGGTGCATTAGTTGACAAAATATTCGCCGTCTGCCTTTCCTCCTTCGTGGTTCTGTCAGATTTAAAACAGATATGTTCTAATCATGGCAATATGATGGAATCATTTATTCAATAAGTACTGGAGAGTCTATTACATTCCAGGCATTTCTCTAACCACTGAGGTGACCTTAGTAAACAGATAAAATAACCCACGCTTCCTTATAGGTCTCAGATTTACAATGGAAAAACTTAGACAAAGAAGCAAAATATGAGTGTTTCAGATGATGTTAATGATTATGACTAAAAAGGAAACAGAGAGGGATTAGGAGACACTGCATGGAAGTAAAGGGGAAGGGGAAGGATGGTGCTGAAATATTAAAGGATGAACAATAATGCAAAGTTAAAACGAGCCTTTTTAGGATTTTTTTTCATGTATTAAATTAGACACAATTAGCAAAATTTTGCTGAATACAAGAGGTCCTCAGGCTGTAAACATCTGATTTATGGACAGTTTCTACTTTACCTATAAAGCAGAGCTTCAAACCAGTCTGTCATGAACAAGGAACTGAAACTGGGACAGAGCAGCATTTATATGATTTGAGGGATTCACCATGATACCTGGGGTTGGGGGAATTAAAGATCAAAGCCCTACAATGGGAGACTGGGGAGAAGCAGAGTGAGCTCTTTCAGGAGCTGGTGCATGAGCTTAGATTAGTGGTGGGACTGTGAAGAGCCACGTATGAGCAAAGAAGCGGGGTCAGCTGCCTTCACTGAGCAGGATGCTGTCATCGCTCAAGGCTTGCTTCAGTTCTATGTAAATCTGCCTCACTTGGAAATCACTGAACCAAACCTCATTGGCCACATGTTCCTTATCACAGTCCTCTTCACTTGATGTGTGTGCTTTTAAATCACAGAAAAGGCATTGAGCTTTTTTTTTAGTTAACCAAACTACCTCACTTTTGATTCAAAGCAAACCCACAAGACAGAAGAGACTTGCTCCTAGTGTTCCCAAGGCTGCACATGTGCATGGAAGCCGACTGCTCCTCCTTCTTCCACAGAACAGCTGATGAGTTCCACCACAAACCTTGCACTAGCAGTCACATGTTCAAACCACTCTAGTGGCCTAGCGGTAAGAAGCTGTGCTGTAATCCCAAAGGCAAGTGGTTCGAAACTACCAGCTGCTCTGTGGGAGAGGAATGGGCAATCTCCCGTGTGATTACCTGCCTCTGAAAACTCGCAGGAGGGTCAACTATGGGTCAGTTCCAACTCAACACAACAATAACACATACCACCAGTCAGGAGCCCTGGTGGTGCAGTCTGGAGATATGTTATTCTGCTTACCAAAAGGAGAAAGAGAAGCGGTCTACTCCTGTTAGGACTTGGAAACTTGATGGAAGGTCACTATTAGTCAGAACTGTCATGAAAACAGTGAGTTTGAGGACTTTTTCTTGACACCCCTTCCTGTGCTAAGTCTACGTAAGAACCATATGCACCTGTTCCAACTGACCCGTGAATAAATTTCATTTACAAGTCAGGACTGCCTGTATAAGCTATTTTAAATAGCCAGTCAGCCTTCCCAAGTTGACAAGTGGGAACAGCATACATTTGCTGTTTGCTAAGTTAATTTTCAGTGCATAGTGGAAAATACAGAAAGACCCTCAACCAGGTGGAATGACACAGTGCCTGCAGCAAAGGGCTTGAGCGTGTTGGAGACTGTGAGAATGACACAAGACAGAAGAGCGCTCATTTCGGGTGTTCAGAGGGTTGCTATGAGTCATACTCAACTCGACAGCACCAAGCAAACAGCAGCAACTTGGTGAGGGGTTGCACTACCAACCCAAAGACAAGTAGTTCAAATCTACCATCTGGCCCACAGGAGAAAGAAGGGTGATCTCCTCATGTGAGATTTACAGGCTCTGAGAACCAGCTGTAGAGTCAGCTATGAGTCGGGTACAACTGGACAGCATACAAGAAGTTGTTGATTGATTGGGTGGAGTTCCTCTGTTGTTACCATAACTATTCTGATTTGTAGCATTATTTGAAACAAAGAATTAGCTAGACACAATTTAAATTTTACATTAAAATTAAGGACAAAAACTAGATGCATTCACAATTACAAAGACAACAAATGTTTTCCTTTTCAATTTGAACTCATTACCTTTTTTGAAAAATATGTCACTATGGTTTGGTGATCGATAGTGCAAACTGGGAGTCAAGATCTACGATTTTTTACAGGGTTATCCCCACTGAACTATGTTCCGAGTCTGTGTGAGGGGCACCCTGGTGGACTGTTCTGGAAGTTATGCGCTTCAGCTGCTCAGCAGGTGCAGATGATTCATCGGGCAGGAGGGGTGAAGTGGGGGGAACACTAGCAGAGTTACACGTCACGTCACGTGCATATCCACATGTGGCTTGAATACGTGCTAGGACCCCGAAGCCTCCTGACCAGTACTGATTAGCGAGCAGTACTTTAATTGATGCTACCTTACGCCAGCTGTAGTAACAATGTTTATGTGACAGTATCATCTGAGATCCATTAGTTATTTAACATGTCACTAGTGAGTGAACATTTAGTGATTACTTAAAATATGACTATTAAATCTAGATCTTTAGAAACTAAGACCCAAACTCAAAGTGAATGGGCAAATGCAGTTAATAACACCAAAGAAATTAAGAGTACCCCTGAATGCTTACTAGGATTTAGGCTGTCTTCCATTTCTTCAACATCTGTATCTAATTCACCATCTTCTTCCTCATCATCACTTTCAGTATCATCATCATCTTCGGTTTCCACCCACTGGCCAGGCAGCAAACCAGCGGCATCATAGGAGTTACACAGAGGACCCACGATGTGGGTGATAAAAGACTCTTGAAGTTTTGCAAGTTGAGGAGAGGAACGATCCATAAAGGGACTGACAGGCAGCCCAAGGTTTGCTTCTTCATCTCCCTGGTTAGTTTTAAAAGAAGAGACCATTTTTAATCATTGAAAGGAAAAAAAAATCAGACTTTTCTGGTATAGTTATCTTGAGGTATTTATATCAACAGAGTGAACATCAAAGTAATTTTTATAAAGATGCATCAAAGAAGTGAATTAAACTAGCACTTCAACTGTAAGAATTTCCCTAATGATTGAGAAATCCTAAATAAGTCTATTTTCACACGCTTTCACATCACAGGCAGTATTCTTTCCTGTAAAATGTCAATTCTCTTTATGCTGAAGGCTGTTAGTATACTGCAAACATTGTTAGTCTCGTGTTCCAGTTGTGTCTGCTCCCATTGGAATTTACAGCTCCAGAAAACCCAATGGAGGGCTGCTGGGAGGCAGATCTAACTTGATGGCAGTGAGCTGAGCTGAACTTCAACTGTATAAAATTGAATTATGCAAGTGTTTTTCAAATCACCCCTCCTTCAACATATTTAACCTAATCAATCTAAATTAGAAGACCAATATTAAGAACAGATAATTGAACAACTGTGGTTGAGGTGTGGATTCTAGCCTTGATGCTCACCTCCTGATTCCCTTCCACTGTGGCCTTGAGTTCTAGAGGGATGATCTGACAACCTGAAGGACGCCGCGTAACTACTTCTGTTACTTACTGCCCGCCTTGCTTAGCTAGTGCCATATTCAAGTTCTTCATGTATCAATTAACAATGTTAATATCCTACCTCATGTTATTGCCATGAGGGTAAAGCGCAGCACATAAAGTGTTTAGAACAGAACTTAGCATTTCCAAAATAGCAATATCATTTTCATTCCTGGCATCTGAATTCACTGGCTATGGATACTCCCACAACGCACAAATTCCACAGAGAAGCCATGTCTCTCTGTGATGAGACAACACAGTTCTAAGGACACAACTAAAAACTGTCTCAGTGGTTTAAAATCTTTCATGCTTTTTATCTTTTATAAAGAAGAAAATGGATTATTTTAGAAAAGAATTATTCATAGGACTTTTTTCCAGTTACATAGGAACATCCCAGAAGTATGAATTTCCTAAATCAATGGACTTAGGAACTTCTTAGGAATTTAAAGGGCTTTGGAAATTCTTCCTAGAATTACAAAGATAGGGTTGCTGTTGTGTTGTTGGGCACCACTGAACCGGAACCATAGCTGACCCTCCAACAGACTTTCAAAGGCAGTCAACTGTACAGAAGATTGCCCATCCTTCTCCTGCTGAGCAGCTGGCAGATTTGAACTGCGTGCCTTCAAGACTGCAGTGCAGCTTCTTGTTACTAGGCCACCAGTGTTCCCTAAAGATAGCATTATCAGGATGATAATGAGAAGAAATGAAATGTTGGAAAAGGTTAAAATTTTGTAACCATGTCTCAAAGAAGCTTAACAGTCTTCATGAGAGATTTCTAGGGCTTTGACACATAGGCAAATTCAATGTTCTAACAACTCTGTGTGCGAGGGTGTTAGATGACATTATCCTCCTTTGAAGATGAATAATTAAGCAAACATAGAATACACAATCTGAGATGACGTGGTGTGTTTCGGTAGGAGATCTAGAACTATGTTGTTGTTGAGTGTCCGCAAGATGAGTATGATTTATAGTGATCCTATGAGCAACAGATCTGAACTCTGGCCTATCTGTGCCATCCTCATCGTCTCTGACACCTGAGCCCATGGCTGCAGTCACTGTTTCAATTCATCTGGCTAAAGATCTTCCTTTCCTCTGCCAACCCTCCCCCTTTCCAAGCATGATGTCCTTCTCCAAGTTCTTCTTCTAGCAACAAGCCCAAATAATGTGAGATGTCATCTATGATTGCGATGTACTGTTGAAATAATGATAAATTAGGTTTAAATGAACATTTGCAATGTTATTTTACTAAATTTCTGAATTTTCTGAAAGTGGTATATAATATTACTTTTTTAATCACCTCTATCTGTACAGACAAATCAAAGATAGCATTTTCTTTAGCATAAAGTTCTTTTGTGAACACAAAATCAGGTTTACATGATTAGGAATGAAGATGGAAATATGAGCACTGCTCACTGCAAGCTACAAAATAAGCAAATGCTTAAAACCACATACTATGTGAAAATACATTCAAATTAGTTCAACTGTATAGAGAATAATAAAATATTAATAACCTTGGGAAACGTATCTATTTCCATGATTACACAGTATGGTATCATGTAACTTGTGAACAGCAAAGTATACATTAATGTATTGGCATGTTTAGCTAAAAATTAATGAAAGACACTACACATCTATTAGTTGTTCAGGACAATCTGTGGTTAACAAGGTTATATACACAGCTATCTAGCCTCAAACTCATGATGCTAATGGGCATAGAAATTCATGACAAGAAAGCTCTATCACAAAGGTTTCATTTGGTAAGACATCTTGATCTTTGCTGATTATTGAGGCCAACGAAGAATGCAATTCCAAAGTCAAAAGGCTGTATTTGGTATTTTGGGGTTAATAAAATATTGGGCTTGGTGAGGAAATTGGTGTACTTTACACTGAAGTGAGCATTAACAATTGGAGGATAAAAGTACACCTATTACAAATTGGTAAGATGTTAACTGCCAAGATTTTTTAATAATTTTAAGCAGAGAAATGAGTATATTTATACTTCTGAATCCTTGAAAACCATTAAATATCTACTCTGTCCCCATTTTAAAACCTTCTAATTCCTTTCTTACTTTCTGCCAGGACTTCTGTCCAATTGTTTTTATAGCAGATAGTCAGTGTTTCTTACTAGAAAGTTTAAAATAGATGGGCATTTAAATATATTCTGTCTGTGTGGTGGCAGTGATGCTAAACACTGTGACACTGATGTGTCAAGTGCAGTAATGGTTACCCATGGTGGACAGTGTTTGGTGGAGCTCCTTGATTAAAACAGACTTGGAAGCAGGAGTGGCACCCACTTCTGAAATAGCTTCCCTCCAGAAACTCTATGAACTTGGAGAAATGATGAAAGTTATACAAGTGTGTTCAGCTTTTCTGTCCATAGGGTCACTATGAGTTGTCTATGACTCGAAGGCACTTAACAACAACAACAACCACAAATTACTGAAAAACCACTTTATATGGAGAGAAAGTATCCCAAGTTATAGACTCTGAGGTTTGAAGGGGCCATGATGGAACCTATCCTTACCTCTGGATTGAACAGTACATCCAGCCTACTCCGGACAGGCTCAAGAAGCTATTTTATGACTATCGTGTTTTTGAATTTTTGCAGCAAAGGCAAACAAAGCTAAAAAATAACAACAACCTGAACAAAAAGAACAATTATTTATTCTTTCTGGCAAAAGTAGCTTTAATTGAAAGCACTCAATATAGCTATCCATGTGGCAGCTCTTAAAAAAAAAAATCTTCATTTCAGAGGGAACTCTGGTGGCAGAGGACCAAATATGTCACAGCACAGTGGCCCTCAAAAATCTCAATGTCATTTTCCAACTTACCTGCTCATAAAATTCATTCACAATGCCTTCTGTCCATTTCAAATGCAAGTCCCGAACTTTTGCTGGGCCATTTATATCCGCTAGTTTGATGCATACCTGGCACACCAAGAGGCGGTCATTTTCATTACTCCATTCTATTCCATTACTATTTACATCATTGGCCTATTTTGGAAAAAGATAATGAACTATTTTAGGTTCTGAGGTATAGAAGTATTTTGTCAAATTATCCAAAGACTGTTTCTTGTTCAAACGTTAGGAAGTTCAGTAAATGTGTTTCAAAATTAGTCTATAATGCGAACTTCTATCATTAGAATTAAATTTCCTATGTGACATGTCACCATAACTTTGTTTCAGAAGTAGCAGAGCTCTCTAAAAAACATAAACCATGTGTTTCAATACTATAATTGCCACAGAGTATGTATCTCTGACATGCTCAAGTTCACTGTTACAATCACTGGGTCTATTTATCTTTTAAAGGTCTTCCTCTATTCCTCTGACCTTCCACCTTGAATAAGTATGGATAATACATGAAAATTTAATTATATATATTTTGTTGTTATATGAAGTCTAGTCATATGCAACTCATAGTGACCCTATGTATAATAAGCCCAGAAGCCTGCCCTGTCCTGAGCCAGTCTCACTGACTTTGACACACCTATCACCAATCCCCTAGTCACTGTACAATTCATCTCTTCTGCGGTCTTCCTCTCCTGTACCATCCCTCCACCTGTCTGAGCATGATGTCCTTCTCTAAGGACTGGTCCCTCCTGGCCACATGCCCAAAGTATGTAAGATGAAGTGTCAAAATCCTAACCTCCAAGGTGAAAAAGTGTATGATGTCCCCCTCCAAAAAATAACTTCTAGCAACATGTCCCAAGTATGTGAAATGAAGCTTTATCATCTTTCACTCCAAGAAACACTCTGGATGCACCTTCTCTCAGATATATTTGTTTGTTCTTTTTGCAGTCCATGGGGTATTCAGTGCTCTTCTCCAACACCACAGCTAAAAAGCATCAATTCTTCTGTCATCCTTACTCATTGTCTAGTTCTCAAAAGCACAGCATGCTACTGAAAAGACCATGGCTTCAATAAAGTGCATCTTAGCCCTCAAACTAACATCATTGCTCCTCAATAATTTGGAGAAGTCCCTGACTGGTATAGGGGTAGAAAATTATTCTACCATTTCCCTTCATGAAGAATTAACTCATTAAATAACTATTAGCATTGACCACTGTGTATCTCATATGTTTTGGACATAAAGATGATAAAGCTTTGTCTCAAATACTTAGGACATGTTCCTAGGAGAGGTTATTCCTTAGAGAGAACATCATACTTGAAAAAGTACAGGGACAGCAAAGGAGAGGAAGACCCTCATCCAGGTGGACAGACACAGGGACTGTAGCAATGGGCCTGAGTGTGTCAGGGATTGTGAGGATGGCACAACACAGGGTTCAGATCTCTTGTTCATAGGGTCGCTATGAACTGGACTCAACCTGATGGCACCTAACCATAACATCAGTCAGTTAGAGGACGCTCTCGTGGCTTAGTGGCAAGGAGCTGCACTGCCAACTGAAAGGCATGTGGTTTTAATCTACAAGCTGCTTCAGGGGAGAGAGATGAGCAATTTCCTCCCTTGTGAATTACAGTCTCTGAAATCCCACCTGAGGGTGAGCTATGAGTCGGTTTCGACTTGACAGTGCACAGTAACAGCCGCCTATCAGTCAGTTTGCTGACTATATTCACTATATAAAGAAAATTAACAAGTGTAAGGAGACAGACATGACTGGCTTCTTTTAAGCACACCTGTTTTTCCATATAATGTCTGGGTATTGTACATGATCCTCTAAATTAGTTCCTGGAAGATTTTGCCACAATTCACTGATTTGTGATTATGGGAAAGAAAATCACAACAATACAAATTAATGTATCTGAACAGAAATATAGCAAGCAATATTATTTTAGGACATTGGAACATAATAGTAAAAATGTTTTCTATTGAAAAGATAAAAGCATATATATTATTACACCATAATTTCATGACTAGTGTTAATCACGACTTAACAAAAGTCCTCTTTTCTCAGTAACACTGATAATAATTTGCACTTTAAAAATCAGGCATGAATATGTATTAACAAACCTTGGCATTGAACTCAGCAAGGAAATCAAAATGCTTTTTAAGATCAGTGGCAAGAATTGCTTCAATCACTAAAAAACGAAAGCGCTTGAATTCCACATGATCGAGATTATGAAGAAAGTTGAACTCTGGGCGAGAAAGATAGAGATTCCAAGCTGATGCAGCATGATGATTCTCAAGAACAGATCTATCATTGTACAAAACTGCCTAAAAAAGGAATACAGAAAGAGAATGAGTACAGGTGGGAAGAACAGTGTCCCTTCAAAATTCATTTTTGCAATTATAAAGCCTAGAAGCTATCCAATGACAACCTCTCCTCCATAACCTGATAAACCCAAAGCTGTAAGGATTAAGGACAGACAGAAATATGCCTTAATTCCAACACCGTAAGGCAACTTTTCTTAGGGTGTGTCCTATAATATGTTTTATCTCGTAAAATGGAATGTGGACTTCATTACCACCAAGAAAGGATTACCACAAATGAAGTGTATCTTTTTGGATCAGGCCTCTTTGCAAGAAAGCTTCTTGGCACTGGGAGAGATCCAGACATGTGGAAATCTCCAGGGAATACCAGGCTTACAGATGCTGATGGAAATAAGAACTTTCCTCCAAAATCAACAGAGAGTGGGCCTTCTCCTACACCTAGCACCCTGAATTTGGACTTCTAGGCTCTTAATTTGTAAGAGAATAAGTTGGTATTTGTTACACCCATCCACTGGAGAGGTGAGAAGAAACTGAACAGTATTAGGGACCACTATTATGGATCAATTTCGGTAAGCAACCATATTTTTTTAATAGCTAAACTTTAATCAATCTTACTTCCATTACAGTATGCCCTGTTGGTTCAATATTAATAATTCCTAACAGTAAGAAGTTGAAATAACAAATTCTGCCTTTAAAAATAAAAATCTTACAAAATAGGCAAGTATTAATTAGACAGAAATCTAGCAATAAGTTATATGTAGAAATTATAAACTATTACCACATAAGCTTTTATTAGAGAAAACTAATTATTCTATTCTCTCACACGTACACAGTCACTCATTCACTGAATCCTACTCTTGTTTTGGGTGTAGCATCAAGTACATTTCTTAAAATATATCAAAGTGATAAAAATTAGAAACAACATAGAAACAGAAGTCAGAACTGATGTGTAAATACAAAGTGAAAGAAGTCAGATCAATTCAGCAAACAACTACTGAATCTCTTCCTTTTGTAAAGAATGAGGCTGGAAGTACAAAGATAACATTTTAGGAATTAATTGCTTAAACACACATAACCACTCTAAATTATACCTAAAACTTAAAATCATGTTTTTAGTTCCAAGTCTTAATATTTATAGTGTGTGTTTGTTTTCAACTTTCCTCTTTATGGAAATTTTGTACCTTATCAGACTGTATAGGATTAAAAATTAACTCTGTATTAGAAGAATTTTTATACAGGCCAATATATTCAGAGCTGAGAGATTTAGGGGCTGAGTATTAAGACATGTCTTAGGGAAATAAGATGCCAACACCACAACCATAAAAAACTCCTCGACAATTATAGCGTTCAGTTGTGCGTTAAGACCTAGTCAGAAGAAAATGTCAGTCTTAGATCTAGTCAGAGAGTTTTATCCATTTGATGAAAGGCAAAAATATAGACAGAATGTATCCCAGAATTTTATAAAGTAGTATCTGAAGATAATAATTTTCAGATTCCCTAGCATACATCACGCCAATACCATTTTATTATCCAAATTATTTCCCAAATAATTATAATCCATGCTGTTGTTAATGGTTGTCGTGTCGAGCACAACTTACAATGACCCTATGAACAAACAGCATGAAGCATGTCTGTAACAATCATCATTTCTCCAAGTTCATATAGTTTCGAGAGGTATGTTGTTCAGGAAGTGGATGCTACTCCTGCTTCCAAATTATCCATGTTATGGTATCAAATAATATGGATGCTGTTATTATCCATATTTTAATATGGATAGATAGTGGTTGCTGTGATGCTAAACACTGTGATACTGAGGTGTCAAATGTGATAATGGTTGCCCATGAGTGTTTGGTGGAGCTTCCCGATTAAAACAAGCTTGGAAGCCAGAGTGGCATCCACTTCTGAAATAGCTTGCCTCTGGAAACCCTATGTACTTGGAGAAATGATGAAAGTTACACAAGTGTTCAGGTCTTTCGTTCACAGAATTGCTATGATTCGTCTATGACTTGACAGCACTTAACAACAACAACAATACTTATTATGTTACT